TCTATTTTTAGGTAATTGGTAATTGGTAAATGGAAAGTGATTGGTGTTAATGGGTTGTCGTGACTTTGACTTTGGAGCATGCGTGGCGCGGGGCAATTAGCCCGCGGCCCGGGCCCCGTAGTGCCACCGCTATTACAGGACGGGGCAATAAACAACAGAATACTTTGTTTACATACAACTAACACCTGATTCTCTACAATGAAATCATTGTGTTGTCTTTGTGACAATAAAACTGCTTTAAAGTTGAGTATGTAAGTACTTAAAACCTAAATTGACACTGTCAATCTTAGGTACTTCTTACTAATATTATAAATGCAAAAGTTGCATTACATCCAAACATCGTAACTTTCAATCACTACAAAACCGCTGGACGGATCTTAATGAAATTTGGCATAGGCATAGTATACACTCCGGAATAGTATATCCTTAGGCTACTTTTTATCAACATACCACGCGGTACAAGCCGCGGGCGGAAGCTAGTACGTTCATATAATAATTATAATAGTTTATGATTCTTGTTTGTAGGTATGCACGTAGTAGAATTTATGAATTTTTAAGATAATATATAGGTATATATAACCTTTAGTTTTTTTGTTTTGTGATCATTGAATATCTAGCTACACTACGCTTATAATAAATCCGTCTGTTATGTGTGAAAAATAAAGTTCCTACTTTTCATCATACGGTATTGTGCTTCATAGGTGCACATTGGCTATAGATAATAAAAAATACAATGGGTTGTATTGTTTTATTAATCCTATCAATTTCAAGGTGTGACACGGTAGGCTGTGCGGGTGTCGTAAGTAGGTAGAGTAATCACAGTGGAAGAAAGAAAAGAGTTTTTTGTGTCTATATACACATTAAGAGTTGATCGGGAGGAGTCAGGAGGAAAATCGGAGAGACAGCAACTAAACTTATAAGGATTTAACAAATATTTGTATACAATACTATCTGCTGCCGCGACTCCGTCCGCGTGGACTTTAGTTTACAGCGTGTGGCTCCCGTTTCTGTGTGAATGCCAAGATAGACGCCTACATTGCTGCAAGGGTTCCTCAAAATCCATTCAGAAGTTTTTGAGTGAGCAACAAACATTATTTGGATGTACTTTCTTCATTATTTGAATGTCTTCACAAATTTATCACAAATTATGTATTAGTAGGATTATACAGATAAATAAGGTGTATAGCTCGTCAATTTTAGCACGTTTAAAGGTTTAGCAAAGGAAAGAAACGTCAAAAATCATACTTTTAACTATTTGGGTTTGGTTGGTGTTTTATATGCTTGGAATATTTTTTTTATGTAATAAGTCGGCAAACGAGCAGATGGATTACCTGATGGTAAGCAATCAGCGCCGCCCATGGACACCCGCAACGGAGGAGTTATGAGTGCGTTGCCAACCTTTTAGGGATTAGGGATTGGGGAAGAGTCTGGGAAGGGGAAGGATTGGGCCTCCGGTAACCTCATTCACGCGGTGAAACACAACGCTGTCGTTGTTTCACGCCGGTTTTCTGTGAGGCAATGGTATCACTCCGGTCGAGCTGACCCATTCGTGCCGAAGCATAGCTCTCCCACACTTAATATAATGAAAATAAGGGTAAAATATGGTTAATTATGCTTGCTTGTACAATATCAACATGTTTGATGATGATGTGGCGAGTAGCGATGTATTGCATCGCAAGGTCTGTCGGCAGTTTATGTATTTTTGTCGCGATATTACCTAATTTGTCGAGTGTAACGGGCACCAAGGCTCGAGGGAAGGCCAAGCCTGTCTGTCTGTCCGCTGTGCTATTCTATCTGTACTCTATAGGTCGTACTGTATCAATGTTACACCTACGCTCATTGTTTTATTTGTAAACACAAATTGTCCATTAAATGGTCTGTTTTATTGTTCCAAACGCCAATTTTTGTAAGTTTTGTTTGAAATAGAAAAACAGTATAAAGTATGTACTTACATTATTTAAATGTTTCAGTAGGTATTAAAAAAAGACCAATACGACATTAAAGTAAGTATCTACCTACAGTATGAAAAAACCTGAAATTAGCAATAACGTTGCTTATCACGTAAAGCGGCTATTTCTAGAGAACTCTACAAATACATGTTTGTAATATCTATTTATACGAGTATCTAAATAATACCGGGTCGCTTGATCTGTGGAGCGAGGCCTGCCTGTGACTACCTTAGCGGTGTTTCTCATTACAGGCTTGAATGCTCACGATGTCCTGTAAAAATACCTTCTTCGAGGTCAGCCCGCGTGGGTGGTTTCTACTGAACTGTTATTTACATTTCTGTCGGCTATTTGGACCCCCATTATCGTTAGTAAGTGTGTATAGGACAGGATGGCAACAGTTACGTTGTCATTATCGTCGTAGTGGGCACCCGGTGCCCGCTGGCCGGCTCAGCAAAGTTGCGTGATTACGTTTTACGAGGCGCGCATCGCCTTGACACCTTTACCTTTGCTAATGTCAAATATCCCAGCGATCCAGGAGTGGAGCGATAATGTAGTGTAACACGGTCACCTTATTGTATTACCTTTTTTAGGTTACAGCTTGATGATGGTAGCTTTACGATATCAAATTACGTTAATGTACATAATTCCTTGAACAAATGGTATGAAGTTGATGCCCTATCTACCGTTATACGGCCAAGAAGTTCCAAAGAGTATTAAACGAATATGAGCCGCTTCTAGGAAGCCAATTAGCTAATGTGGCTGTTTCAACTCTCTAGGTACCCCCCTAACGGGAACGCGACCAAGACATTACTTAACAACTCGTTCCTATGTCGGGATTTTAATAGAATTTATTTACGGAACTTTTCTAACTCTGTGATATTTACAGGATTTTTTGGAAACTTTTTGTTTGACAGAAAAATACGTGTTTTTACACGATTATTTCATATAGTAAAATAGACGATTGGTTTATTAATGCGTAAGTAACTTTTAATGTGTATGATAATCATCATCAGCCTGATGTCGGCCTCTCCAAGAGCACACCACTGAGCTCGATGTTCATCCAACCACTGCCAGTCACTCTGCGGATGTCGTCAGTCCACCTGGCTGGAGGGCGCCCTATGATATGGTATGGTATTATCATACCATATGATGTCGATTATTATCATAATCGACATCAAATAAAAATACTGAGATGTGTTCTACTCTTGGTTTTCGAGTATAAATCTTTTTTTAATTAACTCACATTAGGTAGATACTTGTTCTAATTTTCGGATTAAAAAAATACATTCTAGTTTAATGTATGAAGTACGTACTCAATAAAGAAAACATTTTTGTGATTAATTACTACTTACTTTTAGTTACGTATAGGTTTTTGTTCACGATATATTTTTCCTGCAGTTTCAAGGCAAAAGTGGGGGGTGTTAAAGTGGTCTAGGAAAAGTATTGTAGGACGCAATAAGTAGGTTATTAGGAACCGTTTTATATTGAATATTAAACGCAGTGACAGCCGACGGAGGTTTTGTTTATATTTTAGTATTTTTTCTTAAATAATAACACAAATACAGCAGCAGATATTTATTTTATTTCTTTGATTGTAAGATCTCTGTGTGGGGACTGTGGACACCTGTGTACACAACCTTGTAGTTTGTAGATATCCAAACGTCAGAAGTATTTACCTTGCTAGTTTTGCAATAGGAATTCATGTATTATTTCAAATTGAATGTTTATTAGCAATTATTTTACTGGTAAAGAAGTGTTTATTTTTCTTTCACCTCGATTGTCGTCGAGTTTTATAGAATTAAGTTGCAGAACAGGGTATCGGAAGGACTCAAAATGTATCTACGAATGTATTTCGATACCGGTTTTCCTTCATTCATTAGTCAACTAAGCAGCTAACTGTTCCTTATCGTGTCACTTTACATTTGTATCTTAATATTCGTGTCAAGTTTAATATATTAGTGTTAGTTAAATTAGAATTGGTATGCTAGTGAATATACAAAAGAAACTTGCAATTTAAGAGAGAATATTAATTAGTAAACGAAAATATCTACGCGCATTCTTATTGGTCTCAAAAAGGAGGCTGCTAACTGAACGTTTTGTTAAATACTCCAGCAATTTCGTGCGATGTGTATTTATGTACCTAGTTACATTATAATACATTATGTTTCGGTTCGGTTAGGAACAACCTGTAGAATGCCGAGATAGGCAGTACTTAGATATTATTACAAAGCTGAGCTGAGCCGGTTTGGGCAGACCACTGCCTACATGGAGCCAGACTCACTATAAATATCTTGTACTTATAACACAGACGGACAACAGTGTTAACGTGTAGAAACTTGTACCTACACTATAGTATATGTTTGATGGATGAGTTTCCAGTGAATGTCATGAATATGTCGCGATTCGTGAATGCGTCCACGATTCATTGAGCATTTTGTCGGTTACATCCCAAGGTTAGAGTTACACGTGTCATTGGACTGTTACTATATCAGTAACTCGCTAACTGGTAGCGTAATATGTAAAGCAATTAATTTTTACGATCTCTCACATACTTCGTGCTACAATTATTATTGTTTGGCTACGAGTAATGGCTTTATTTTATTTTCTCTCAACAATTTGATAACGTGCGTTACTAATGCTGGCATTGCCGGTAGAACCTACCATTTAGTTTGTAGGAAAGGTGTAAATAAAGTTGTATGAAAATTATAATCAAAATAAATATGTACTTATCAGAAACATTAAATCATTTCATCTTATTAGTTCAATCTTGATATTGTGTTAAGGCTATAGTGCCAGTGAGAATGGTTATCTTTGTGCGTGTGTTTGTTTATTGCAAGAAATGTAAATCCAAATGTGCGAAGTAGTAGTGCAAGCCTGGCACAACACCTGCATAACTGCGATAAACACGATGGTATCAATGTTCAGAGCATTTCATTTGTACTTGATAGTGTTTACTGGCGGAAAACCAGCTTGTTTTATTATGATAATAATCTATTATCATGTTCTCTCAAACAAAGAGATAACAAGGTACACAAACAGAGTCAGGCTTACCTTTTCCATTGAGCTGGGTCCTCAGCCGGGACAGCTCGCGGCTGCGGCTGCGGCTGCGCCGGTGCGCCGATATCCTCCGCGGCGAGCGCGCCATCTCGGTGTCCACAGCCAGCGTGGTCTCAGGGGGCTCCGCTTGGCCCCCTCAACAGACATCGATCACACAGCACATACCACTGCACTACACCTACAGTTGACACAGTTTGCAGCCGGCGTGCCGACTACACGAGTGACAGGACGCGGCACGCACTGTTTGTAAACAACTTTTCGCGCGAAATCACAACTCACGACGAGAACAAGTACTTTCAATGCACACAAAGTACAGGCTAGTTATGAGAGATTAAAAGGAAAAGTTGCGATAGTGGAGAAGTGAGCGAGTCGATACGTGAGGTAGTAAGGCACGAGTGTCGTGTGGAAGGCACTGCGAGGCACTGAGTGAGCGTGTTGTGGAGCGGCGCGCCGAGCCGGCACTGCGGCGTGGCCCAAGCGGCGGCCGGCAGCGAGCTCGCGGCCGCACCTGCACCTGACGTCACCGCACCGTACGCACTCTCGACAACCACAGAAGGCTCACTCACCTGATTTGCACAAGTTACTTTACACGACGCTGGACATCGATAGTCACGCTTGGCACTGCAATGACTTGACGTAGAGTCAGCGCTAGTGCGGTGTTACATGTTTCATGGGCGTCTCTTGACTCAATTCACTTTTAAACGCTGTAATTTTGTACCTCGTTAAATAAAACTGGAGTGGAATGTAAAGATTTTTTGTCAGAAAGAAAAGTGAGACAGTATTTCTGAAATACTACCTACTGCTAATATAGAGACTTGTATTCAGCAGATTGCCCACAGCCCACAAAGTATCAAATGAGTTTCTGTATGTGACGCATGTTGCCGGCGAGCACTGTGTTTTTCTTAAGCTTTGGGCAACAGCCGCTGCTGGATGGTTATTCTCAATGTTAATCATCAAATCAAAGAATGTTTGTTTTCGTGGAAGTATGAAGTCATGTTACGGCGCTAAGTAAATTAGTAGCAGTTAACGAATGCCTCCACGAACGCAATTAGCTTAATCTGCACTCGTGGAATATTTGAGGGGAACTGAAATATTTGCCCTGGGTGTACCTGCCAAGGTCGACGGAGGTTGCCATGAGCACTGACCTCCTTGACCATTCATGGTCATACGAAGAAGCTTGCAGCTTGGATGATAAACATTAGTCTAAAAGGAAGTACTTGCAATGAATTGTGTTTACAGACCAATCCTAACATTAAGGTCTTCATGAAGATTTTTCTGTGCTTGATGTATGTACTTATTAAGTTGACAACGAATACAAATGGTACCTAATCATGAAGAAGATTACAATCTCTTGTGAGGCTCGAGGGTAGGGTCCCTTTATGCCCTACGAGGCTTTGATGATGATTGCGTTCTTCCTTTAATCCATTTTCTTTGCTTCATCGAGATTTATTGTAGTCATTAGAGATCATTTGACCCAGTTACGTGATTACGTCGGGGAAGTAATCACTGTAATTGATATGAAGTATGACATCATGTGCACCTAGGCAGTAGGCAACTAGGCACCTACTCGGGCACTTAACGCGTTCCTTTTGTCTTCTTAGAGTGAGTGTAGGCGGTGCGACATGTAGGTCGGACGTTATAGTGGGTATGTGCATACAGCATAGCTCTTTATTGTGTTTCTGCCAAGTATATGTTCCCTTTAAACATAAACCTTATTAGGAATTGATCCCATTATTCAGATATACGTACATACTTAGGAGAGCATGCTTCAGTGCGAATGGATCTGCTCATCTGGCGTGAAACAATCACAGCATTGTGTTTGGCTGTTTAAGCGAGGTTACCCAAATCTTCTTCTCGCCCCATCTTTCTCTAATCCGTAAATCTCCAAAATCCTAATCCCCAAAAGGTCACAGCGCATAATGCGGGTGTAGGTAGGTAGGCACATGGCTGCGGGGTAAGCGCAATGAGGCACCGCGACCTCGGCCCAGAGCAGGAGAAGGAACGGGAGCGTTTTAAGTCAGTAAGAGTCTGACAGTCTCTCTCGCCTTACCCTGGGCGGGAGAAGTCATTGGATGATTTTCCCCTGACCAAAAAAAGATAGGTAGGCACATGGGCGCCGATTGCTTAGGTACCATCAGGTAATTGATCTGCTTGTTTGCCAATCTGTCACATAAAAAAGATATTAATATATCTAAGTAAGTGTGTACGTAAGTAAGTATGTACGTAAGTAAGTAAGGACTAACAGAATAGTTGCAACACGTTACAGATTATACATATATAGGTAAGTATATGGATCGCGTGCACAGATTTCCCTCGCAGATTAAAGAAACGCATTCCCGAGCGTACTGGCTGTAGGGGACAGTTGTTTTACTTTGTAACCCACTTCTAGGAGTTCTAGGAAACCTTTTGTAAAGGTAGCGTAATGTTATGAGGTTAATCATGATGTAGGGCTATGATATTATCGTTTTTTCTCGTTATTTATGTATTCAGGATGTAACACGTAGGTTTATACTTAGAATAGGTTGATTAACATGTAGGGAGTAAGTACCTACTTATCTACATGAGTAACTTCAGACTTTTCATTCCACAAAAAATAAGCTTACAGCCGTATTCTTACAAGTACATTTCCTGATTCCTTCGGCGCGAATTGGCAGGAGCGATACCACGACCCCGCAGAAAATCGGCGTGAAGTAACACTTTTTTATTTTGAGGGAAAAAACATCAAGTGACTTCTCCCGCGTAGGGCCGGGCCGCCTGTGGTGGTATATTGGCTCTTTGAGGCGCGCGCGGAACGCTACGCGCCGTACGCTCGGGTCTGGTTGTGGTCGGGCGGCGAGCTAGTCTTACTCGCCGTTCGCAGATCGCGCGAAATAACCCTAGCGTTGTGTTTTACCTTGTGAGGTTATCGGAGGGACAATCCTTCCCAAATCCGTTACTCTACAAAAGCACGGCAACGCACTCGTACCTACTCTGGTGTTGCGGGTGTCGATGGGCGGCGCCAATTGCTTACCTACCATTAGATTATCCATCTGCTTGTTTGCTTTTACATAAAAAATCTAAAATATTATTTACAAAATTTTCCAAAACAGAAACAAATAAGACATCTCGCTTTGGGATTCGAACTAATGCAATTACAAGACAAATGATGCAGTCTGTTTTAGATATCTACAACTAATTAATATTCTATTTTCTTAATCGATGAAATCGGAATGTATGGTCCAGTGACCACATACCAGACCTATCTAAATAGGATCCTACTTTCTGAAGTAGCCGGTGCCACCGAATAATGCACAGCAGGAGAAGGAACAGAGTGGTATTTAGTCAGTAAGTCTGACACTCGATCTTGCCCTACCCAGGGTGGGAAAAATGCCTAAGCAATTTGATGACTTGCCAAATAAAAATAAAACTTAACTGACGAGACTGTTTTATTAAGTGAAAAACAAACTACTGGTTAACTTTTCCCCTGCAGTCCTGTTGTACCTACTAATTGTCCAGTGTCTATGTTTTTTTTTTTGCAATCCACAAGGCAACAGATTCATAAGATATCTATGCAATTGTATTGCAAAACGAAAAGATTAGGTCTTGATATAAAAATATATCTAACAACTGCGCCGGGTTGCAACAACGTCACGTATGAACTGATAATGCAAACAAATCATTACAAAACACTATATCTCATAATGATTCTGTTTTTGACGTCTCAAATAGAAATCGATACTGATTATTTTATGTAGGTACATTTCAACTAGGTCTGAGTTAGCATAGATCCTTATGTATGGGTAGTTTTATACCTACACATATTACTAGGGTCAAGTAATACCTTAGGGATGTTGCGTGCTTCCTTTGCTACAGCCATCTATGATTTTCAGCAGGTAATATGACATTGTGGAAAGGCGCTTTCACAATGTCATGCTTCGGCACGAGTAAATCTGCTCGACCGGAGTTATCACTCCTCTCGAGCCACAGCCTCACAAAAAACCGGCGTATGACATATACAGGTTGTTTTGCTGCGTGAGTGACGTGACCGGAGGCTCAACACTTTTCCTCCTCCCCAATTTCTAAACATCCGAAACCCTAATCCCCAAAAGGCCGGTAAAGCACTCGTTATTCCGGTGTTCATGGACGTCGCATATTGCTTACCATAAGTTAATCGGTCAAGTCGTTTGCCGCCATATCAACAAGCATTTAAGAACTTCACTATTAAACATATTATTATATAGATGTGAATAATTGGGAAAAATCAACACTTGTGTGGTAAGGTAGTTTAAAAATAAAACAGCCACATAAAGAACGAGAACAAATTATATATTTTTTATCTGTTACATCCACAAGAACAGGCTGCGCAGGAGATGTGGTGCCGGGACTTTGAACCACAATACAAAATATTTTAAAGCATCGCATTACTGACTTTATTTAAAAAAACTCTATAAGTACCTAATTGGAATCCAAGCACACATCCGCAACATATATTTTTATACAAAACATAACAAAAACAATAGCAATAGTAAGGATACCAAAATAACATTTATAACTGATTTAATATTTTTCAACTTTAGATTAAAAAGAAAATTAAATAGCCTGCCTATCAAAGTAACAGTAAAATTTAAATACTATCAACGTATACAGGACTTAATTTTATAAAATGTTAATAACTCATTAATTAACATACAAAACTAAAACTAGGTACAAGCGCTACGTTATGGAATCCAATATATTTGATTTCAGTATATTCCAATTATAAATTAAGTATTTACCTAGCAATGTACCTGTGTATTTTAAACACGTACATAGCTTTGAAGCAATTTACTTTTTAAGTAATAACTATGCAGCATGGGCAGTTTCACTGTTTATTTCGCATTTGGGTATTACTAACAGACTTTCAACACTGTAAAAATCTTTTAATACCCATTTTAAGCGTTTTAGTTCCACCTGTGGTCTTCTCGACCCCACATCTCATGCGCGTTAAAAACTTAAAGTTAAACAGTTAACAATAATAAACTGTTATGAACCGTATGCGACAATATCAGTTTGTTTAAAATATACTCTAGCGACCATGTAAAGAGTCTGAAAATGTTCACCTCATTCAATACGTATCACAATTATTTTACTTTCATTATTTAATAGTGTTCAATCATTTAACTACTTGTACAACGAGACCGTGTTTAACGTTCTGGGGAAACCCAACTCATGTTCTTTGGTATACAATAGAGCACTCATTATTTTTCTATTCTTGTTCATCATTGTCGCTATCCTCTTCTAGCAAAATGTTACCTACATTTTCTCCCCTTGGGTTAAACACGAGTCTATTAATCTATATAAATTACACAAGGATTTTAAAAAGCTGCTATGATTAATATAATTTGTTCAAAAAACTGTAGAAATTTGCTGACTAGATGATATTAAGTAATGTCAAATTAATGAATTCTGTGCCAATGTGGGTGAGTCAATTATCG